GGAATAGTTGGTGGTTCATTCCGCTGTGGCGACTCCTGATTATTAAAGGGACGCAGCCGAAGGAAAATGAATGAAAATGTTAACATTTTTAAGATGCTGTTAATGATGTTTCTGCCTGCATCCCCTTAATGACGTATAATATTGTGCTCATATAAATGATAAAAAAGTATTACTATAAACAACACCTGAAATAAACAACAGAGCATACAGTAATATGAAACTAAAAGTCTTTTTATTTGGTCTGTATCATATATATGATCACATTGCACAACCCTATAATGAGTTATTATTTAAAATGCATGATGATGTTAGTGCTTAATCTACTAAATTCAATATAAAATTATATATATATATATATATATATATATATATATATATATATATATATATATATATATATATACATATGTATAGAGAGGGGAGATGTTTACTTGAAGGAAAACAGGATGATAAACACACTTAACCTGGAAAGAAACGTCACCGTGCACAAAACCCTGAAGTGATTTCTGCTCTTTCTGTCATTTTGAGAGCAACCTGACAGCAAACATCCACAAAACCACTGAGTGTTTCTGATTGCCTGCTTTTCTGTCTGCTTATGTAACCACAGGGTTGCTTCATTGCATACTGTGATTTTTTTGCAATACACTTCACTGAAGCATGTTTTACACTAAGCAGTGCTTAAAAACACATGCGCTGAATGTTACATGCAAATATAAATTGTATAAAAAAAATCACCTGCAGGATTGTGAATGCTCCTAAAGCAGGGATGGTTTTCTTTATCAGTTCTGTGGGCGCAAATGCCTTGTTGATGAGGCCAGAGGTAAGAGGAGAATGGCCAGACTGGTTCCAGCTGATAGAAAGGCAACAGTAACTCAAATAAGCACTCGTTACAACCGAGCTCTGCAGAAGAGCATCTCTGAACACACAACACGGCCAACCTTGAGGCGGATGGGCTACAGCAGCAGAAGAGCACACCGGGTGCCGCTCCTGTCAGCTAAGAACAGGAAACTGAGGCTACAATTCACACAGACTCACCAAAACTGGACAATAGAAGATTGGAGAAACGTTGCTGCTCTGATGAGTCTCCATTTCTGCTCACACATTCAGATGCTCGGCTCACAATTTGGCCTCAACAGCATGAAAGCATGGATCATCCTGCCTTGTATCAGCGGTTCAGGCTGGTGGTGGTGGTGTAATGGTGTGGGGGAGATTTTCTTTGGGTCCATTAGTACCAATTGAGCATCAACGCCACAGCCTACCTGAGTATTGCTGCTGACCATGTCCATCCCTTTATGAGCACAGTGTCTCCATCTTCTGATGGCTACTTCCAGCAGGATAACGCAGCATGTCATAAAGCTCAATCATCTCAGACTGGTTTCTTGAACATGACGATGAGTTCACTGTACTCAAATGGCCTCCACAGTCACCAGAGCTCAATCCAATAGAGCAGCTTTGGGATGTGGTGGAACGGGAGATTGGCATCATGGATGTGCAGCCGACAAATCTGCAGCAACTGTGTGATGCTATCATGACAATATGGAGCAAAATCTCTGAGGAATATTTCCAGTAGCTTGTTGAAACTCTGCCATGAAGGATTAAGGCAGTTCTGAAGGCAAAAGGGGGTCCGACCCGGTACTAGTGAGGTGTACCTAATAAAGTGGCCGGTAAGTGTATGTATAATGCATACGTAATGCCTGTTTTTAGAAAACTAAGGGCAAAAAACAAACCGCATACAGAAAATAAAGCCTGCTTTAGGAGCAATCTTTCAATATAATTGGCATGTACACAATCAGAGGATGTATTTGTGTACATTATTTAATATGAAACATATTTCAGTGAAGTTTTAGTCTTAATTTTCGTGTTGGTTCCCTAAAATATCTGTGTTCTGTGCTCCAGAATGAGGTGGACGATACTCAGATCCAGGCAGCGCGGGACGATGTGGAGCTGCCCACCGAACTGGCTAAGATGATCGCACAGGACAACCAGGAGGAGGAGCAGAAGCAATCAGTGCTGGGTCAACTAACCAACATCCAGAACGTGGATATGGGTCATCTGAAAGACAAAGCCCAGGCCACGCTGGAGGACCTGAAGAACTCTGCTGAGAAGTGCTGCGTCATGTGATCTGGCCACGTTAAATGCACTACTATTATCTCTGTATATCTCCCTCACACAAACACAGACATATACACACACACACACACACACACACACTCACACACACATATATACACACACACACTCACACACACATACAAACATGCACAGACACAGAAAAGCACACACACACAGTGACAAACCTCCATGCTCATGTACCCAGTGTGACGTGTTTCATGATGCTAATATTGTTCTAGGAGTTTTAGTGTCACGTCATCAACATAACCTGTTCAGGTCGCATTTCACCTCAGAAAATGTCAAACAATTAACTTCGGGGTGAAATGTGACATGTTTTTGCAGATTCACCAATAGGGCTGTGGCGATAAAATCATGCGTTGTGATTCGTGGATCAATTCTGAGCTTTGTTTTTAACAGCAGAGGGCGCTATAGACTAGTATTTAACACTAGATGGCGCTCTAGACTTGATTTTAACACCAGACAGGCTAGCTAGTTTAATACACCAGATGGTGCTCCAGACTAGTATTTAACACTAGATGGCGTTTTAGGCTAGGTTTTAATGGCAGATGGAGCTCTAGGCTAGTTTTAACAGTAGATGGCGCTCTAGACTTGATTTTAACACCAGATGGTGCACTAGGCTAGTTTTTAAAACTAGATGGCACTCTAGGCTTGATTTTAACACTAGATGGCGCTCTAGGCTTCATTTTAACACTAGACGCCGCACTAGGCTTGATTTTAACACTAGACGCCGCACTAGGCTTGATTTTAACACTAGACGCCGCACTAGGCTTGATTTTAACACTAGACGCCGCACTAGGCTTGATTTTAACACTAGACGCCGCACTAGGCTTGATTTTAATACTAGATGGTGTACTAGGCTAGTTTTTAAAACTAGATGGCACTCTAGGCTTGATTTGAACACTAGATGGAGAACTAGGCTTGATTTTAACACTAGATGTCGCTCTAGACTCGTTTTTAACACTAAATGGCGCTCTAGACTTGAATATAACACTAGATGGTGCACTAGACTTGATTTTAACACTAGATGGATAACTAGGCTTGATTTTAACACTAGATGGTGCACTAGGCTTGATTTTATCACTAGATGTCGCTCTAGACTTGATTTTAACACTAGATGGTGCACTAGGCTTGATTTTAACACTAGATGGATAACTTGGCTTGATTTTAACACTAGATGGTGCACTAGGCTTGATTTTATCACTAGATGTCGCTCTAGACTTGATTTTAACACTAGATGGTGCACTAGGCTTGATTTTAACTCTGGATTGCGCTCTAGAATTAATTTTAACACTAGGTGGCGCTCTAGGCTTGATTTTAACACAAGATTGTGAACTAGGCTTGATTTTAACACTAGATGGCGCTCTAGAATTGATTTTAACACTAGATGGTGCACTAGGCTTGATTTTAACACTAGATAGAGAACTAGGCTTGATTTTAACACTAGATGGAGAACTAGGCTTGATTTTAACACTAGATGGAGAACTAGGCTTGATTTTAACACTAGATGGCGCTCTAGACTTGATTTTATCACTAGATTGCGCTCTAGACTTGTTTTTAACACTAGATGGTGAACTAGGCTAGGTTGTAACGGCAGATGGCGCTCTAGGCTAGTTTTTAACACTAGATGGCGCTCTAGGCTAGTTTTTAACACTAGATGGTGCACTAGGCTAGTTTTTAACACTAGATGGCACTCTAGGCTTAATTTGAACACTAGATGGAGAACTAGGCTTGATTTTAACACTAGATGTCGCTCTAGACTCGTTTTTAACACTAAATGGCGCTCTAGACTTGAATATAACACTAGATGGTGCACTAGACTTGATTTTAACACTAGATGGATAACTAGGCTTGATTTTAACACTAGATGGTGCACTAGGCTTGATTTTATCACTAGATGTCGCTCTAGACTTGATTTTAACACTAGATGGTGCACTAGGCTTGATTTTAACTCTGGATTGCGCTCTAGAATTAATTTTAACACTAGGTGGCGCTCTAGGCTTGATTTTAACACAAGATTGTGAACTAGGCTTGATTTTAACACTAGATGGCGCTCTAGAATTGATTTTAACACTAGATGGTGCACTAGGCTTGATTTTAACACTAGATAGAGAACTAGGCTTGATTTTAACACTAGATGGAGAACTAGACTTGATTTTAACACTAGATGGAGAACTAGGCTTGATTTTAACACTAGATGGCGCTCTAGACTTGATTTTATCACTAGATTGCGCTCTAGACTTGTTTTTAACACTAGATGGTGAACTAGGCTAGGTTGTAACGGCAGATGGCGCTCTAGGCTAGTTTTTAACACTAGATGGCGCTCTAGGCTAGTTTTTAACACTAGATGGTGCACTAGGCTAGTTTTTAACACTAGATGGTGCACTAGGCTAGTTTTTAACACTAGATGGTGCACTAGGCTAGTTTTTAACACTAGATGTCGCTCTAGGCAAGTGTTTATCGGCAGAAACCTTCCTAACTTTATTAAAGATTATTTTAAGTTTAAGTGGTAAGGAACTGGAGACATGCAAAATATGGCTGTTCGTAAAGTGAACAGCGCCATCTGTTGTTAAGAACGAAGCTCAGATTTATCGCCCACCGCCCTATTCACCACATAAACCCCAGTTTCCCACAGCTGCAGTGTTACGGGCTCATATTGTGTCTGTATGAAGGGCTGGTGGGAGCAGGAATGGAGCTCGAACACACACATCATCCATACTAACACCTTGACCTTTGACCCCTGACATCATTCTCACCTTTGACCCTTCATTGAGTGGTGCCGTTTCGTGCAGGTGGTTTGGTGTCGTCGTGATGCAGATGTCCACCCTTTTCTTTCTGGTTACTCCTCATAGTAATGCTCTGCTATTGATAGTTTTCATGTGATGTTGTGACATTACAGAAACGCCCCCTGGTGGACAAAACCATAATGTCTCCTTTTAAACGTCTGGACTGAGTAATTTCCTTTTTTTAGCCTAAAAGATTGGATAATAGTCATGCAATAAGATTACTAACTGAAGTATAAGTAACACTTATACGCTGCAACGCCATCAGTAATGACTGAATCTCTGAGGAATACCCACAAGATAAATGTAAACATGGCTGAACTGTAGCTCTGACAGGGGCATGAGGGTTTCAACAGCAGAATATGGATCGCAATGTACAACTTGTGATTATGTCTCTGTTTAATTCTGTTGATATGCGATAGAGGGGTGGCCTCACATCAAGAAGGTCGCTGCTTCGAGTCCTGGCTGGGCTCTGTGTGGAGTTTGCATGTTCTCCCTGTATTGGCGTGGGTTTCCTCCGGGCCCTAGCAGGCCATAGTGTATGAGTGTATGTGAATGTGAGTGTGTATGGGCGTTTCCAAGTAACGGGTTGCAGCTGGAAGGGAATTCACTGCATTAAACATATGCAGGAATAGTTGGCGGTTCATTCCGCTGTGTCGACCTCTAAAATAGAGCCGAAGTAAAATGAATGAATATGTGATAGAAATCCTCAATACTCACAGTAGTTCGCAGTGTAGCCGCCATTACGGCTCAATGTTTATTAGCCTCCACACAGGTCACATGACTGAAAACTATCAGTTGTATGAGCAGGTCTGAATGATCCGATTTTATTTCTGTGTTTTGTCTGTCGATTGAAGCCATGCCGAGGTCTCGAATGGAGACGTAATATTAATAAGCTGCTTTCATCTGGTGATGTTTGCGAAACATAAAGCAATATAAACATCTCTGATCTACACGACAGAGCTGATCGCCAACTCATGTGAAGAATAACTGATTTTTCCTCAACACCTATTTGTTTATTGATTCGATTTTAATATCGCGTTTTTCAGTGGTTTATTTTACTTATGCCCTCAATAGTTGTGTCCGCTCTGGATTGCATAAGTAACGTAATTACCAATGTAATGCATTTATGTAATTATTCTTCTGACCTTGCTGGGTTTTGACTGTTGAAACTGTAATAAATATATTTGTACAAATATTTTAAGGCTTGTGATGTCCTTTCAGTTTGCCTGTGTGAAAGCATATTGATAGTGAAATTCACTTTAAAGTGTAATATGCAAAATCAGCGCTCAACGATAATGATAATGGTCCGGGGCGAGCGTGCAAGACGCTCAGGACAGTATACAGAATGGTGACTTGTCACTAAAGTTTAATTTGGCTTTGGCTGTTTGTCAATTGCGTGCTTTCATGTTTCAGTTTGTTTCTGATCCCGTCTCGTTTGCCCAGTAAGCGCGGTTCGTGGCATATGTGAATCCTGCAATCGTGCTCGAGTCCGCGCCAAATCAGTCGGTCTGAGATCGCCAGAATGAGGTGGTCTTGGCTCGATTGAGCAGATCGATTGTTGTGAAACAAGAGGATCCAACGACCCAGGCTATATCACAGTGCATTATGGTTGTGTATATTCGGCTATATGAAGAGAGAATGAGTAGGGCAGGATAGGTCAGTTCTACCGGTCAGGGGCGGACTGGCCATCTGGCAATTCTGGCAAAAGCCAGAAGGGCCGGACCAATTTTTAAACGTGGGCCGGTCAGTTTTTTTTTTTTTAATGTATTGTTTTTACATGGAGGCAGCTTTTATCTCTTGCTAGATGTGATATTATGATGATGATAATAGTAATAATAATAAATGTTAAGCATTTGGACCAATATGCAACGGCCGCCTGATTTCAAGATGGGCCGACCCAATCCGAGGTTACCGTAATCAAACCAAATACGTTACATTAACAATTTTTACGTAATCAAAATCTGGCAAGAATGTCATATTATTTCACCATCTGTACACCAAAATAAATAGTGAATTAGTGTCCGTGGGTGGGGCTGTGTCGGTGTGGTTATGTGGGCTGGTGTGGCAACAGTGCCAGAGCTGAATTTTTGTCCCAGTCCGCCCCTGCTACCGGCAAATGTGCGTTTCATGTTTAACATGAAAGTAAAAGTATCCAATAGTATCTGGATGCAGCCTTTATGATGCAAGCTGAGATTGCATCACTCAGTGAGGCAATGTCAGACACAATGCACTCAAATGGAGCTAGTGACGTCACTGTGATGGGTAGGGTTAGGGGTGGGGTTAGGTGAGCCCATTAAAATGCATTGGATGCAGCCCAGATTGCACTGCATCAGGTCTGCAGCCAGACCCCTTTAAGTGCTGTTTATCCGTTGACTGAAAAAATTAGCATCTGATCATTTGTCCATATTTTAATCTTATATTTTGTATTAGGCCTGGTGTTTTGTACCTCGAAAGAAAGATCAACATTGCTTCATGATCTGACTGCAGTCCCGGTGTTGTGATGAGAAATGCCCCCCTGCACGGACCCCCTTCATAGACTTTCTTTAGCATTCTTCAAAACTCAAAGGCCATAAGTGATTAAAGC